GTCTGCATGGGGTGGGGTGGTGCAGGCTTCAGCTGTGGGTTGGGGCCAGGGGCTGAGCTTCAGCTGTGGGCTGAGCTGTGTTGAGCTTGGGGCAGGCAGTGGCGGTGCTTGAAGGGGGCTAGGGAGGGGATTGCAGCCACCCCAAATTTTACCATAGCACCCCCGTAGTCCTGCTCCCAGCACTGCCACTTCCCACCGCGAGTGCAGCATGGCCCAGGCCCCTCCCCCCATGCACCGCGAAGAGCTCAGCACCACTCCCAGTCCGCAGCTGCAGCCCACCCCACTCCACCCCACCGTGTCCTACACAGATCTGGGGGCACATGCCCTCTCCCCATGCCCTCCTGGGGTGCACACAGTGGTGGGAGCCACCCCCTCCTCCCCATGCCCCCCAGATGAACTGTGGCTCTGTCATATGCCTGTCTCACCCTGGCTAGGTAGCCCCTGCCCCAGACCCTGCCCCACTCCCTCCCTCACAATGGGGGGCATTTATCTGCCCCCCACACCTCTTCCCTTCCCCCTCCCTGTCCACCACAACAGACTTACCAGCTGGATGTAGCTGTGTTGGAAATCGGATGAGTATCAGCCAATATGCCTTCTTAAAAATTGGCTATTGGTATCGGCCCCCAGAATCTATTGGTGCATCCCTAAAAATATTTTGATGTAGTCTGCTTTGTTCTTGGTGTATTTTACATAAGATTATCTTAAGTGCTGGACCTGTCATGATCTCTTAAGAAGTGATCCAAAGTCCATAGGTTTCAGATGGAATCTTTGGAAGATGACAGAACAAGGAGAAATGGTTTCAAGCTAAAGCAAGGGAAGTTTAGGTTAGATATTAGGAAAAACTTTCTCACTAGGAGAGTAGTAAAATGCTGTAACAGTTTACCCATAAAGGTTGTGGAATCTCCATTCTTGGAAGTTTTTAAGACCTGGACAGACTTGGCTAGGATGATCCATGTTTCAGCAAGTAGTGGTACTAGATGACCTCCTGAGGTCTCTTCCAACCCTAATTGTATATGATTCTGTGATTCTTTCCTTTGATTCTGGGTTTTGCATCAGCCCTTGAGAATGGGAGGGAAATGGAAGCAGCCTGTTCTAATGGACCATTGAGAACCTGAATTTATTTGGTCTGATAATTTGCTCTCCCTCTATTAGGTTCTGCAAAGGAGGAGATGTAGCATTATGCCACCTCCATGGTTCCTCCCCTCCCCAGCAGTATGGGCCCTTTCAACTCTTGGTCCTGTCCCCAATTACAAGAAAGTGGAGCACTTGCACCTTAATGCCCAGCTACTTATGACCACACAAGCCAGTTCCAGCAGTTGAGGGTTGCTTGGACATTTCCTAGTCCCACCACTTCCCAGGCATACACCTTCTGTGCTGAGAGTAGGAGGAAGGATAATTTTAGGAAATGGTACCACTAGTCCTATACTCCCAAAGGAGTCTTTTGTAACTTGTGTCTGTGGAGCTCCGGCCTGTCACTATTTTCAGAATGGGAGGGGGGAAAAGGGAGCAGAGGGAGGTCAGTCTGGGAATTTTTCAGCCTCCACCCCCTCCCTGAAAGGTGGGGCAAGTGTTTTGCAGCTCCCTGTTTCCACTCTTCAGCACCAGCTGGGGAGCCCCAAGACCAAGCACTCTCTGCTGCCTTTCCCCCCTCCCATTCTGAAAACAGCAAGCCCTGGCAGAGAGCCTGGTCATTGCTCTGGGAATCTGGCTCCAGGCTCCCAGCCTGCAGCTAGATTCCCCTCCCTGCTAGAACCAACAGTGAACTTCTGTTTGGTTTGGGGCTGGAACTCAGAACGCTTTGCAAAAGTCATTCTGAGTTACAGCTGGGAGCTGGACTTCTTTCTGCTTCCTTAATGTGCAATACTATGCATGTAAGGACTTGCCTGTTCTTTAATTGTGAGAAATACATACTGAGGAGGAATAACAAAAACTAAACAAGAGCATGCAAAAGTTAGACTGGGGGGGGGG